TAAACTCACTATGTTGGCCTCAAACTTGTCGGGATCCTTCTGCCTCAGCCTCCCAAGTGCTGGTATTAAAAGCAGTCACAACCACTAGATAGAAGTTACTAGTCTTCTATCAAAAGAGTAGCTAGCAAAAATTTTTATGTATTTTTTCTTCACTCTATTGTTTCCTATACTATGTAGAAACTTTAATCTGTTGTAATCCCATTTGTTAATTCTTGATATTATTTCTTGAGCTGTTGGAATTCTATTTGGGAACATTTTATGTCTTGTCTTCAAGTGTTTCCCCTGTTACCGTCCAGCAGTTGTAGAGTTTCTGTATATATGTCTGGTCTTTCAAACTAGTTTGGTCAAACCAGTCTGGTCAAACCTAGTTTGATTAGATTTTAGTACAGGGTGAGAAATAGGGTCTAGTTTCAGTCTTTTGCAGATCAGTATCCAGTTTTACTAGCACCATTTGTTGAAGAGGCTGTTTTTTTCTCCCAGATGTTTTTGGCCTCTGTCAAAAATCAGATGATCTAGTTGCATGGGGGTGTTTCCGTGAAATATAATTTGAAATCCAGTATCAGGATGTCTACAGGTTTGATCTTTTTGCTCAGGATTGCTTTCGCTCTTCTGCCCCTTTTCTGGTTTCATATGAATTTTCTTTTCTTTCTTTTTTTTTTTAATGTGTTACTAAAGATTGAGCCCAGAGGCGTCACACTGAGCCAAATCATCAGTCGATCCATCCGTTCTTTCATTTTGAGACAGGATCTTGCTAATTGCCCAGGCTTACCTCAAATTTGCCATCCTCCTCCCTCAGAGGCCCAGAGTGTCAGGATTACAGGCCTCTGCCACCACACCCAAATTTTCTATAAATTTTATTTTTTTCTATAATTTTTTTTTATTTTTAAGAGAGTAGTAAATGAGAAACAAGGAAATAGAACAGTAGCAGCGTATCAGTATCACAAACATAAACAAATCAAAGCAAGAACAAAGTGATACAGAGTCTCAAGACAAAATAATATGAATCAACAGTGGTTGTTATATTACATATCGCTATCCTTAACTACATTGCTCAGACTACCAGATGTAAGAATGAAAGATTGCTCAAACCATTATAGGGAATAAGAAAGTATTTCTCTTCGATAAAACAGTAGAGATAATACAGAGTTTCACTAGCAAAAATGGTAGGAGTTCACCATTGTAATTCCATTGCATATTGTTACTTTTTTAGAGTTCTGTAATTTTCATTATAGTAGTCTCCTTGGGGAGGTTGATTCCTAGTTATTTATTTGGGAGCTTTGGGAATGGAATAGTTTTCCTGATTTCCTTTTTGGTGTCTTCATTTTTGGTGTACAGGAACACTATTGACTTTTGTTTATTGATTTGTTTTTCATCATAGTGTATACTAGGTAGATAGATATAAAAGAGTCTTGCTATATATAGTTCAAACTGGCCTTGAACTCACTTTATAACCTACACTGGCCTTGAACTCAAAGATCCTCATACCTCAACCTACTAAGATTGCAGGTGTGTGTCACTAAAGCTGGCACAAATGTTTGTTGAGTATAACAGGAGTAGTCAAGAATTTATGGCCCTGCTGGGCCTGGTGACACATGCCTATGATCCCAGGGTGAGGGAGGAGGATCTCCTTGAGTTCAAGACCAGCCTGAATTACATAGTAAGACCCTGTCTCAGGAAAAGAAAGGAAGAATTTGTAGCGTGGACTTAGAGTCCTGAATTTAATTCCTACCTAGATCTACCTGGAACAATCTAGTTTGCTTCTCCAAATCTCAATTTTTTGTTCTCTATAAAGGGGGCTGGAGATTTAGCTCAGCGGCACAGCGCCTGTCTGGCAAGTGCAAGGTCGTGAGTTCGAGTCCCGGTATGGGGGGAAAAAATGGAAAAAATTATACTGATCATTATGGTGGTATTCTGAGAATTGTACATAAAATGTTTATAACATAATATCTTAACACAAAAGGACTTTAGATTCCTGGGCAAGGACCAGAAAGATTTAGAAAAATATAATCACAGTTGTATTGGAAGCAATTTGGAAAAACAGTGACAACAAACACTGGATTAGTCGTTATAACAGACTCTGGGTTATGAATACTTAATAGAATTTTTTACCCTTTCTAATTCAAATGTTGATGTAATGAGTACTATCAATTGAACAGATATTTTTGAAAGTCTGCCAAAGATTGCATAATTAATTTCCATCAAACTCCATAGAAGTAAGTTTTAAGTGGTTTTTAATACAGGAAAATGAAGAGGAAATGAAAAGCAGAATGATTATCAGTTTTTTCTCTAAAAGTTGAGATAAGACTTTGGTCTAAGCATGGTGGGAGATGATTGTAATCCCAGCATGTGGGAGGCCAAAGCAGGAGGGTTGTTGGAAGTCTGAGGCCAACCTGGGCTACACAATGAGACCCTGTGTCAAAAAACCAAAATAATAAGAAAAGATTTTAAAAAGATAACAGTGGGAGCGCAGGCCTGTAATCCCGTTACCCAGAAAGCTGAGGCAGGAGAACCACAAGTTTTAAAGCCAATCTCAAAACAACCTACCCCTAAAAAAGGAAATAAAGAAAAAATTTTAAAATTCTGCCTGTGTTGTTTACTTTTTTGTGATGAAATGTAAAACAAAATAATAATTTCTTTTTTTCTTTTCTGAGTCTCTTACAGGTTATTTGGAATGGATGAATCATCAGTGGGAAGATTTGACTTGACTGACCACACACCTGCTGGATTAGGGAGCACAGCCATGACAGCTAGTCTCATGGATGTAGGAAATTCATGTGTTCCTACTAGTCCTTTAGTCAGTAGATCTAAAAACCCATCAGTGGAAGATGATGATGATGTTGTATTTATTGAATCTATACAACCTCCTTCAAATTCTGCTCCAGCAATAGCTGATCAAAGAAACTTTGTACTTACATCATCAAAACATGAAAAGCCACAAGGAAATTGTTCCTTAATTCTGCCTTTTTCAAGAGATTTGGCTTCTCAAAAAGGAAGTATGTGTGAGACGATTGTTATTGATGATGAGGACATAGAAACAAATGGAGGGGAGAAAAAAAATTTGTCCAGTTTTACTGAGTGGGGACTTCCTGGAACTAAAAACAGTACCAAAGATTTGGATTTCTCCACATCCAGTCGTTCAAGAAGTAAGGTAAATGCAGGAATGGGTAATAGTGTTATCACTACAGAACCAGACTCTGAAATGCATATTACTAATGTTACAACATTAGAAACAGGTGTAAGCTCTGAATGCTGGGCGAGATATGAACTTAATCCCACTTTGTAACAGCACTATAGAATGCCAACTTGGGAGATGTCTCTTACGGACTGCAGTCAAGTAATTTTGGTGTTAATATACAAACATACACCCCATCTTTAACTTCACAGACCAAGACTGGAGTAGGACCTTTTAATCCTGGTAGAATGAATATGGCAGGAGATGTATTTCAGAATGAAGGATTTACAACTCAGCATAATCCTGGTAAGCAGTAAGTGATATCTTCCTTCTACCTCAAGTAAATAAACTTTTGGCTACCCTTTTGGTTTTGGTTTTTTTTTTTTTTTTTTTTTTTTTTTTTTTTTTTTTTTTTTTTTTTTTTTTTTTTTGGTTTTTCTCTGGTACCAGGAACGGAACTCACGACCTTGCGCTTGCCAGGCAGGCGCTTTTGCCGCTGAGCCAAATCCCCAGCCCCTGGTTTTTATTTTTTGAGACACAGTCTCACTATGTACCTTGAACTCACCAGGTAGCCCAGATTGGCCTTAGCCTCTAAAGTGCTAGGATTACAGATGTGTACCACCACACCTAGTTTATATTTGTAACTTACTTACATACTATATGAATGATTTTATTTCTCTCTTGTGTTAAGAATCTTTTACTTAACGTACCTGTAAAATGTACTTCATCTCTGAAATTTGGAGATACTAGCCATATTTACATCTAAAATGTAGTAGCCCTCAGAGTTATTACAACCACTACTGGGTTTTGTTTTTTGGGGGGTTTTGTCTTCTTTTTTGATTTTTGAGATACAGTATTGCTATGTAGTTGAGTCCTCCCTTGAACTCACAATGTAGCCCAGGCTGGCCTCCAACTCAGCAATCCTTCTGCCTCAGCCTCCTGAGTGCTGGGATTATAGGTGTGTGCCACCATGGCCAGCAATATTTGTTTTAATATAAAAATTGTAGTGCTGGGGGTATAGTTCAGTGGTAACACTTTCTCCTTAGTATGCTGAGGTTTTGGGTGTAATCCCTAGAAACAAAAATAAAAAGTAAATGTGGTAGAACTAGAAGATTGATAGTGAACTAGAAAAACAAAGTAAATAGCAGTTCCTTTTTGTGGATTTTCTAGGACTCACATGGATTAAAGTGGAAATTGGTACTGGTTTTTGACCATGCTAGTGCTTTTTGGCTTGTTGAATTTTAGGAAAGGACTGAAAAGTATCTAGAAGAACCTGCGAATCTAATCACTTGTTCTGCTTAATGGAATTCCAGTGTTTTTTCTTTAAAAGTGTGTTTTTCACCTTTTACTCTGCTTATGAGAATACTATATGATGGTTACTGAATATTTGGAAAAAATCGTTCTGGACTTGGAAATAAAACTCTCTGTCATCTATCCCTGTATATGCAAGTAGCCACTGTAGTTCAATTGCTTTCAGCCTTTGACCTCTAATTTTTTTCTTTTTTTAATTTTTTGGGGAATTTTTTTTTCATTTCTTCTTAGTCATTTTGCCTTTTTTAATTTTTTCTTTAGTTGTAAATTTTTCTTTCTTTCTTTGTTTTTTTCATTTAAAAAATGTTTTAGGGAGGCATGTTGGTGCATACCTGTAATCATCCTGCCTCAGCCTCTGAGTGCTGGGATTATAAGCATATGCCACTATCACAATAAATGTTTTGTGTATGTGTGTGTGTGTTTGAGATGGGGTCTCACTATATAATACAGACTGGCCTCAAACTTGTAGTGATCCTCCCTGCCTCAGTGATAAATTTTTTGTTGTTTTGTATGGTACCAGGAATTGAACTCATGACCTCAGGCTTGCCAGGCAAGCGCTTAGGCCACTGAGCTGTATCCCTATCCCTGTTTTGTTTTTTGAGACAGGGTCTCACTAGGTAGCCCAGGCTGACCTTGACCTCCCTATATAGCCTAGGCTGGGCTCCAATTCACAGCAATCCTCCTGCCTCTGCCTCATAAGTGCTGGGGTTACAGGTGTGCGCCACCACACCCAGCTAGCAATAAATATTTTTAATGAAAAAATAATTTCAGAAAATGTAATAAAAGAGTAACATTGTCACACAAATCTCTTTAAAATCTTCCTTTAATAGAAAATAATGAAGTGCCGGGTGTGGTGGCGCATGCCTGTAATCCCAGCACTTAGGAGGCTGAGGCAGGAGGATAGTTGCGAGTTCGAGGTCAGCCTGGACTTCATAGCGAGACTCTGTCTCAAAAAGACCAAAAAAAAAAAAAAAAGTATATCTAATTTGTTACATCAATTTCTACATTATATATCTTAGAATCTTGTTTTGTTTGCAGTATAAGAAAAGTCTGAACCCTGCATGGTGGACATGCCTTTAATCCTAGCATTCAGGAGACTGAGGCAGAAGGATCACCATGAGTTCAAGGCCAGCCTGAACTACACAAGTGAGACTCAGTCTCAAAAAAAAAGTCTGATTGAAGGAGAGTACAGTACTTGAATAGTGTTTTTCGGTAGTTATGAATATCTTGCTTTTGACTTGGCACCAGAAGTTAATAATTAGTTTTTTGGGGTTTGTTTGTTCGCCTTTGTGGTGCTAGGGTTGGATCTCTCAGGCCCTTCTCACTGAGCTATATCCCCAGCTATTTTTTTATTTTGAGGTGGGTCTTGCTGAATTGAACTGGGTGGGCTCAGATTTGTGGTCACCCGGTCTCATCATCCAAAAGTGCTGGGTTTACATGAAAAATTAGTAGTTTTTAAGAGTTCTTAACCACATTTGGTGGTACACACCTGTAGTCCCACCTACCCTGGAGTATGCGGCAGAAAGATCACAGGTTAAAGGCCAGTCTGGTATATAGTGAATCCAAGGTCTGTGTGAACTTCATACAGAGGGCCTGTCTCAAGGAGTGGAACCTGAAACTGTATGATGAATGTTTATATGCTATTGCTTTAAAGTCCATTGGTCTAAAAACCCTGTCTCAAAGAGACAGAAAACAATTACGAAGTACGTTTTTGCTTTTCCTTATGAGAACTGTTACGTTTTGGTATGAAAGAGATACTTTATACATGTTTCCCAGTTTGTGAGACAGAATATTAAGATGTAGTCAGAGACTGAAATTTAGTAAAATGAACAATATTTACTGTTTTAGGCTGGGGGTATAGCAGAGTGCTGGCCTAGTATGTGCATGGCCCTTGGGTAAATACCTAGCGTAACAAGAAAAGGAGGAGAAAATGAGCAACTTTAGTGTTTCATCAAAGATACCTGTTCAAAATGAGGAATTTAAGGCTGTGGATACAGCTCAGAGGTAGAGTACCTGCTTAGTGTGCACAAGGTCCTGGAGTGGATTTTTAGCACTGCCAAAGAAATTTTGTTTTTGTTAATACCCTTTGTCCCTGGTTCTTGGGAGGGTGAATCTAAATTCTTGAATTTTTCCAAATATTAGAGATGTCTTTTGCTTCCCTGCTAAGTAATGAGGTAATTCAAGATGGATCGACTAAGTGAGTAGAGAATTGGGGATTTTCAGGTAGCCCAAACTCTGGGAGGGAAGGCAAGCTATAAATTGAGCTTGGTCACATTGCCAGTGACTAAGTCAATCATGCCTATGAAATGAGACCCCTGTAAAACTACAAACATTAGCTCAGTGCTGTCGTCTTAGCTGGTGAATTAATCAGTGTTCCAGGAGAGTAATACTACCTGATTGCACAGAGAGCTGGCCTGGAAGCTCTGAATTTAAGGCCCTCCCATACTTGTCTCGTGTGTCTCTTCCTTTAGCTGTTCCTGATTTGTATCTTGTATATACAATAAAGCTGAAATTTTAACTGTAGAGCATTCTTTAGTCCTGTGAGTTTTCCTAGCAGATTATCAGTCCTTGGCAGGGTGCACAAGACCCTTTCAGATTTCTAGCAAATTGACCAAAAGTGTAAGTGGTATCCAAAGTTTTGCTGGGGACTGTGTCTTTAAACCTGTTGGGTCTGATGTCTTATTCTGAGTGCTTAGTCTCAGAATTGTATGAAGGCATTATCAGCTGGTATTAGAATAGTACCCACGAATAAAGGTGATGTTTGGGTTTTATAAAGGCATGATACTAAACTTCTATGTATGTGTGTGTGTGGTGCTAGGGATTGAACCTAGGGTATCCCTCGTGCTAGGTAAGTACTTTCCAATGGAATTACATCCCTACCCCTTTTAAAAATTTGAGGCAGAAAGACAAAAGGCTATAGATGTAATTCGTTGTGAAGGCCTTGAGTTCAGTGCCCAGTACCAAAGAAATTTTTCATCCAGGATTCTAAAGAGAATGTTCACATTTATCAGGTGATGGCGAAGATGTTTGAAGCTTTCTTGGGCGTACAGTCACTTCCAAGGCAATGTTAGTACAGTAGAACTGCCACATTTTGCTAAAGAAATGTGATTTAGGGATACATGGAGCAGGTAGAGTAACATGATACGTTCAGGTTTAGACACACTGAGCTTGAAGTGACATTTGCAGTGTTTCTACAGTGAGCCAGAGTACATTGTTAATGTGAACATGCAATAGTGAGAGGAAAAATGCACTAGTGATTACACCGTTTTTCTCCGTTTTTGCAAGTGTTGGAAATGCTAAACATAGAATCAGTCCTAAATAAACAAGTGGTTTGAGGTATCAGAAGGAGTCTGATTTATATTTTGTAAGGATCAGATAAAAAGTCCATTTCAAATAAAATTTTTGTTGTGTGTCCTGTGTCACTGGACTGTCAGTCAGACTAATTCTTTAAGTGTTTTCGCCATACATGTGAGAGTACTTGGGGGCTCTGGACTATAAGATTATATATTCAGTGACTTTAAAGAATAATTTTAGAAATTCTCTGTAAAAATGTGTAATAACTCTTCCCACACCTCATACTAGGCAAGGGCTCTGCTATTGAATGATGTTCCCAGACCTTTTTGATTTTGAGACAGGATCTTGGTAGTAAGTTAGCAGAGCTGGTCTCCAATTTATAATCTTTCTGCCTTAGCCTTCTGAAATTACAGCATGTATCATCATGCCCAGCAAATATGTAAATTCATTTATTTTCTTTTTTGGCAGTGTTAGAATTGAACCAAGGACCTTTACACTGAGCTACATCCCCAGCCATTTTTGTTTGTTTTTTCTTGGTTATTTGTTTGCTGGTTTGTTTGTTTTTTAAATAGGTTGGGATCAAATTTATGATCCTCTGGCCTTATTAGCCTCCCAGAGTGCTAGATTTACAGTTGTGTGCCACCATGTGCTGTATCCAGTCTGGCTTTCTTAAAGTAACATAATAACAATTTTAGTTACTT